AATAAAATTCTAACCAAAATAAAAGATCTCAGAAAAATTGGAAAATTCGTCACAATTTTACACTATGTGGCGGCATAGTGTTAATCTATGCGGTCGCATAGAAGCTGCTTCTACCTCCTCCGATTTCTTCAAAAATGGCTATGCGGTCACGTAGCTAGGACAACTATGTGGTCGTATAATTGCTTGGTTGATTACCTTCCTTTGTTGCTCAAATGATCCAACCCGTTTCCTCACTCGAGTCCAACACAAAACTTGCTCATTTGCTTGCTAAGATCGATATTTCATCCATTGTAACTTGCACAAGTAATCCCATCACTTCCTTGACTCGCTTTGCTCACGATCGAGTCATCTGCCCTTCTTCGACTATCAACGGATCCTTGCTCACACTTGTATTCGTTGCATTCATTCCTCAGATCATATCATAACAAGTTCAGCTAAAGAATCTTTTAGAGTTGATTTTTTATATGTTGATGAATATCTTTCTTCACTTAAGTTATGGTTTGAACAAGTCCAATAAATATGAAGATATTTTTGGATTTTTGTTTGTTTCTTAGAAAATTGAAGACTGTAGATGATAATTCTTTAAAGAGTTTGTGTGATAATTTAAAGAATTTTTGAAGCACGATAGGAATTATGATATTATGGGCAAAAGTTAATTTTTGAGCTGCAACTTGAGAAATTGTTTGTCAGAAGAGATCAAAAAGATGATTGAAGTACTAGTCTATAGTAATAAAATAGTGATGGATTGTTGTTTTTCAAATATGTGGATTACTTGAAGAATATTATTGAATATATCAATTACAACTGCATTTGTCAAGAATAGCTTCTCAAAGTAAACTGATAAAATCCTACATTTAGTTAACAATGTCATGGTCTACATTGAAAAGAAGTTCAAAAAAAATTAATTGAAGTAGCGTAATTGTTGATTATCTATCAAAAAATCTAGAAGAGTAAATTTAATTTAGATATTTGAACTTCTCAGATTATTATTTTTATAATTTTGAATAGTTTTATTTAATAAAATTTATTATTTGTAACTATTATATATAGACAGAAACAATCTCCTAAATGCTGATGCTTAGCTTATCCTAAGCATCGATAACATGGTAGATTAACTATTAACAAATTCATCTACATCAACAACGTGAATTTGTATGTTTGGGAAATGATGGTGGGTCCCATACTAATTATTAAATTTGTTAATAGTTGACCAATCATGTCATCTGTGCTTAAGATAAACTACTTCATATAAATCCCTGGGGCCTTTCTTAAAACCGCTAGTGCAATTTATTCATTCACACACTATTACCCAACATCCATGAAGGGGAGATTTGTTGGGTATGTGCTTCATGTCCTGGGGATGGAATGTGAGACCAAGTCAAATAAATTGGTCCAATTAAGAAAATTCAATCTTAATTATCATTGAGAAATGGGATAAACTATAAATTTTAGTTAAAGCCTTAAGATATCAAGAAAACTTTGCACATTGTCTTCTTTTTATCGATAAGAAAAGGAAATGAAAAACGAGATTTCACTAGGAATTTTTCAGTCGATGCCTCAATACTATTAATGTAGGGCTGGACATGGTCCGGTTCGGTTCGGTTCTAACGAGAATCGAACCGACCCGAAATTTTCGGATATTTAGTAAGTGAAATCGTCGGGTCCAAATTTAATTACAAAATCGTTCGGGTTCGGTTCAGTTCGGTTCGGTCCGATCCGGTTCGATTCCATTCGATTCCGTATTATAATTAAATTTTTTAATATATACAAAGTTACGTTAATTTAATTAATGATATATTTAATATTAGCTCTTACAAAATAATGTAGTTCAATTTTATGTGTTTCACGTCTCTCTTTGCTGAATTCTTCATAAATTTGATTATTAAAATTACAGAAAAAGAAAGATAGCGAGCTCAAAATAATTAAGAAAGATGCTGTAGAGCTTTAATTCGATTTTCTCCGGTAGAAATGACACTACAGTAGAATAACAGATTTGGATAAAATTGAGGTCAATTTGATTAAGTCGATTTTGAACTGAATATTAGAAATAGGAAAATCATATTTTGTGGTTTGAACTAAATTAACTAGTTAATAAATTTATTTAGAAAAAATAAAATAATTTTATTTATTTAAAATAAATTAATTTAAAAAATTAAGGAGATTCGGTTCTTTTTCGGTTCTTCGGGTCTTGGCCTAGAATCGAGAACCGAACTATATCCGTCAGTTCTTGATTCAAATACCCATCCGGGTATTTAACTTGAGAAGAACCGTCGGGTTCGGTTCGGTCGGTTCGGTTCGGGAGTTTTGTCCAGCCCTAATTATATGGGATCAAATTCAGCCCCAAAAGAAAGAAATGCAAAAGCAACAATAAGAAAATTCATAGATTTGCATAGACGCAGATTAAACATTGATATTTGCATGCTCCATGCACTTAATATACCCAACTTATTTTCTTCAGATCCAACAATTAGAATCAAGATCAAATGGTTCATTCAAGAGGAATCACTGTCTAAATAGTAAAATTTGATGAGATCTTTTTTGTTATTTGTTATTAGTTATACTAGAATAGTTTTATTTAGAAAGTAGTAATTGGATAATTTTATTGTTTCTTTTGAGGAATTTTGTCTTTAAATAGGCCAAAAAAAAAAAATTATGAGTCAAGAATAGTTGATTTTTTAAGTTTTAGTTAGCCTTTAGTGCATTTAAGAGATTGTTGTAAAAAAAAGGTTGAACTCCAACCTTAAGGGTCCCTCACCGCCCCGTCCTTGGAGTATCGTGAGAGAGGTTAATAGCGGGATGTGCCCCAACAGACAAGGGAACAAGAACTACCTATACACTGATGCCCACAAAGAGTCTTAATCCATGTTTTAGGAATCGAACATTCACACCGCGGTTACCAATAAAGCTGAGTATACATCACCCTTATCCTTTACACCATTAGGATATGCTCCAGAGGGCTGTTGTACTCATTATTGTTGATTGTAGTGGAAGATTATTTGGAGTTGGGGAAGTAGACATAGGCACAATACTGAATCACTTTAAATATTGTGTTGCTATTTTTCCATATTTATAGCTTACTGTTAGACTTGCACGGAAAAGAAGAAAATATTTGTACTGTTGCAATATTGCTCTATATTGTGTTACATATTGGCATAACTTCCTAACACTTTCTGCAATTGATAAAAGAAGAAAAATGAAAATCTCATTGTAAAAGCATGTAGCATTTTGGAGCCTTAAACATTCGGTACAGTATCATTAAAATGAATGCGATTTTATGAGTTTTACTTGAATTCACGACGAAAACACAACTCTTTTCTCGTAAGAGAAAACTTTGTAGAATATGAAAGAGTGGAAGGAGCAGAAAGTTAAACTCGAAGCTGATACCAATGATGAGAAATGAATGAGATAGTCGTGGGATAATTTTGCCCTTCTAAAAAGTAAGCATGTGAAGAACACATTATGTACCATGTTTGTCGTAAACATATCTGTGTAATCAACAAATAATTTATTTTGGACATCAAATATTTGTATATAAATATATTATCATATTAAAAATAAAATCATTATGTACCATGTTTGTTGTAAACATATCTGTATAATCAACAAATAATTCATTCTGAACATCATAGTTATGTGTTGGTGCATCCTACATTAAAAGAATTGTGTCAAATAATGTCATTGACATAAATTCAAAAGTAAATAAGATAACACTTAAAACATCTTGTAAGTATACGAAATAGCATATGAATTGAAACTTTTCTAAATACTTATGAAAAAGCCCACTACAATAGAGAGCAAAATAAATAAAATGCGAAATAGCAGATGAATTGGAACTTTTTTCTAAATACTTGTGGAGAAACCGACTACAATTGGGAGCAAAAAGAAAAAGGTTTTGTTAACATAAAAAAAGAGCAGAGACAAATAAAAAATAATAATAATAAATAAATAAAATAAAAAAGAGTTTTGTCCATTGTTATCCAATCCTCTTTACCAAATGTATCATAAAAGGAAAAACAAGCTTCATTTTAGGGCTGAAGGTTAAAAGTTACTAAAAAACAATCCCTCAGCAAGCAATCAATTAACAAACAAATATAATTATGCACTTTAAAGTTTATCTTACAATCTTTCTAGTTCAACAACTAAGCAACAATTTATTTTTGTACTATATCTACAAGAAATTCCATTGTAGCCCCTCGATAAGGGTAATGAACATAAAGTCATTTAAGGACATTGTGCATTTAGAAAAATAGCAATGTGTGTACCAAAACTTAGGATTCTATACAACAAAGAATTAAAACTAGATAAAACAAAAACGATTTTCTATCTTTTCTTCTTTTTAGAGAAGTGAGGTGGTTAATAATTTAAAAAATAGAACATCACTTTCAAAATAGGCACTATTAGCTCTCCAGCATAGTTGAAAGGGAAGGGAAAAAAAGGCAATCCAGACAACAATCAAGAAAGGGTTTTCACATCATGGATGGCTCAATGACCAAAAACCCTTGCCAGTTAGACTTAGGGATAACATGTAAAATCAAGAAAAGAAAATTAAAACGTCCAAATCCAAACAAAAAGCAAACAACAAAACACGATAAAAAGGCAATCCTTATTTTTTTCAAATTCGGCTTCATATATTGCTATGTCTGTATATATTTGCTCAAGTGGCGTCTATTTCATTGTTTATTAAATTCTTTTCGAACACATTCATGTAATTTTCTCGGATTTATTAGGATTCTAGTTAAACACAAATTCTAAAAGAATATAAAAGGTTTTAGATTAATTTAATGAAAATGAAAATAAAAATAAGTGAATGAATATAGAGTTACGTATTTTTATTTATGTCTCTTTCAATAAATTTACATAGAATTTAAAATATAATAAAATTTTATTTTTAAAAGTGGATGTAAATATAAAAAGTGTAGATGAAAATAATGGTACCCGAAAACTAATGCATTCGCACGTGTGATATTCACACTGGAGCGTGTGAAACCATCTTCATTGTGCCACCAAAGTCATTATTCCCCCACGCCCTCTAATCTTTCATTTCCCATTTACCATTCGCCATTTATTGTTCTTTCAAATTTTGATCGTTGATCTCACCATTCAGGAGGGGTGTGACCTGAGAACAAACACTGATTGGCGCCTGAAAGAACCATGTTGAGAAGACTATTTTTCCAGCTCCGAACTCTCGCCCCGACTCGATCCGCCCCCAGACCCACCCGATTTATTTGCTCTCCGACTCAAGCACCGGTCCGACAGTCTTTGCTCATCGTCTCTCGCCAATTTAGTGCTGAATCTGGTATTTTCTCTGCCCAAGACCTTAATATATATATATATATGTATTGTTAAGAATTTATATAATGATGTACAAATTGTTTAAGGGAATGTACGTGTCCATATATTTATGTCAATTTTTTTTATTTATTTATTTTTTTGCGAATTTTGTTTAATAGGCAATGTGACTACAAAGAAAAAGGTCGAGGATGTAATGCCTATTGCTACGGGTCATGAGCGTGAAGAGCTTGCAGCTGAGCTTGAAGTGAATTAATTTTATTATTCATAAAGTTTTTCTTTTCTCGAGGCTTTTGATTCGTGATACAGTAAATATCTTTAATCGTCTCATTCATATTTGCTCATTTTTGTTTGATTATTTTTTTTTTTATCAGGGAAAGGACCTTCTGGAAATTAACTATCCGGCTGGTCCTTTTGGAACGAAGGTCAGGTTCATGTACAGTTTTTTAAATGAATTATTATACTATCTTAGCTGATTTACTTAACTGATGAATTCCATCTTACTTCTAGAATATGGTGTTTCAATTACACACATAATGCTCGTGCTGTTTTGCAATTAAATATATTTTGTATTGATGATAACACTGAGAATACTTTCCTGGTGCATATGCCTTAGTCACCAAATATCATGTGATTGATGTTTTTATTTTTATGTGTTGATGAATTTGCAGAGTTATTGTATATCCTTTGTCATTTATCCTTGATGTGTGTTCCTTCATGTCACCGTTTCAGGGACCTACCATTGTTGTCTTTTCCGCCTGACAAGCCTAGACTTGAAATTTCCTGTTATTATTCTTTCAATTTTCATTTGCTTATGTAGATCACTACAATTTAAGCAACAATAATAAGAATGTAATTTGTTGAGTGTAGATTTTATTCACTAGACAGGCATTGTCGTGAGACCGACACAGTTGATGTATTTGTGAGATATTAATGACTGTAGTTTCCTATAAATGATAGAAGCTTGTTCTATTTTGATCAAGTTCTTTTTTTGACATATCTTGTGGTGGCTGGTGTTGTTTATCTTGAGCTAAGCACTCTGTGTAGAGTGAGAAATTGGAAAGATAGAGAAAGAGAGAAAGGAGAAGAATCGAAGAACTTATAGAGAAACTCAAGAAATTTCAATACATCGAATATCACAAAATCAATGATCTACATTATTTAGAAATATTAGTCCCATTTATACTTAAGCCCTCGTTTGGGCCCCATTCGTTTAGAATAGTTTTTGTAAAAAGTGAATTTTTTTTTTTTTTGGGAGAATATGTGGTTAAAAAAGTAGGTAAAGTTTTGGTTTTGAGTGAAAAATTATTTTATTGGTAGAATGTGTTGTTGATATGAGTTTGGAAAACATGAATTTTAAAGAATAGGGCTTAAACATTGGCTAAATTACAAACACAAATCAAAAGTTCCAAAATAACAAACTGAACACTTCCCCAACTTAAAACTAAGGTAAGAAGACAAATCAAAATCTATTTCTTTCCTTTCTGCGTAAACTTATTGCATATTTTTGGTAGTTTTTAATAAAATCTCCATCATTTCCCTAGTCAAAAAGAACACAACTCTAGCTGGCTAATCCATCTATAGTGATCTAATATATTTGGATCAAAATGGTAGCACTACTTTTTCTAACCAAGCCTTGGAATTGCACAGAACATGTCATAATAGAATTGGAGATACGTTGAAAACTTCATTTACAGTTCAGAATCTCTGATGGAACTTTACTCTAATTTTTTTTTTTTGAAAGGCCACTTTACTAACAATAGTATATCGTAGCTTTTGCAGGTGACCAATCAGTGGAACGAATAGGCTTTGGTACCAATTGATGTAGAATGAAAAGGAGGAATCAATAGGAAGAAGTAGAGATAGATAAAAACTTTTTGCACCATAGAACGCTAAGTTGTCTAGAGCAATTAACGTTGTCTCCACCTACACTCCTTTCCTAATTTGTGATTTCTATCACCATAAAAAAAAATAAAAAATAAATAAATAACCCACTTAAATGTTTATGAAAAAGTTTAGGCTCTCATAATCCTGTTCACGGACCTATAAACCGATTGAAATTCGCAGAAGATGCTCTAGTACGGTTAGTATGGATTCACACTGTTAATTTAGAGACCGCTCCTAGTGAGCATCATGAGTAGTCTACGTAGGCCATGTTAAGCACTCGGCACTCCCCAAGCCATATATGTCTAAAGGGTTCACGAGTAGTTATTATTAACATGCATCTGTTGTGTATAAATAGAATTATTCATATAGACATCATCAAGGCTATTGACTTTTTTACGATGATGCAAGTGAGGCCCATTGGTCTTTTACCACCATTTGCCCATCAATGTCCGAGAAATAGTTTTAGACGCGTGGAATCCCAAGACAGACAATGGTGCTCCTCACCTCTTCAATGTCCTTATGATGAAACTAGGAACAATTGTGGTAAAGGATATTATAGGAGAGTCAAATTAGAATTCACTTAATTTGATGGTAGACTTAACTCGAAAGCATTTCTTGATTGGGCAGATACTCATGGCATGCTAAATTTAATATGTAATAAGCCAACATATTCCTTTTGCTAAGATGAAGCTCATAGGATTTGCTAGGCATTATTAGCAATCAGTACTGCATAACATTTAGCATCTAAGTCTGGACTTCTTGTGAGCCCAAAGGAAGTCAAAGTTTAGATTAAAATACGTTTTAACCAATTATGGGGATTAAATGTATAATTAAGCATTATTATATGAACTCGCTAAGGAGCTAATATGAAGGTGTTAAAATTCTTTATGTCCTTGTTTCTTCATTTCTAATACTGTGAGCACTAATATTAACCATGAGGTCACAATAATTTCCTTAAAGCACGTTAAGGCCTTAGAACTTATACAATATCTAGGTTTATTACTCTGTGGGATGTGCATCTTGCCCACTTGTTGATTTTGGATAAGCTTAGTCCCTTTGCTAGTCCATGTAAAATATTTCAATTTGCACTTTTGCGAACATCAAATGGACTAAAGCCCACTATCTGAGTCATGAGTAACACTATTTTTTTTTTTTGTCAAGACAATGTCTTCTCCTTCTACCTTGTTCGCATGAAATCCGCAAGTGTAGGGATAGTTGTACGAATAATAGAATTAGTGAGTTTCGAGTTTATCATTCCCACAAGGAATAAGGTTTAAAATATAGTTCAACAGTTTGTATTAAATTCGAGTAAGTACTGACAGAAAAAGAGTGATTTGTGGTTGTTTATACTACTTCTAATCTATACTAATAAAGCAAGTAAATTTTGATTTTATCGAATGTGAATGCTTCTATTGGATTCATGATTCCCCCTATTTCCATCTATTTCAATTATCAACTAATAATCTAGTTAATTTCATGTATTCTTGACATTTGATAACGCTAATATGTTAAATGCTCTTTTCCAAGATACACCAACCTATGATTAACATGACCCGATCCTATTCATAACCTGAATTCATATGAAAATCATATATTTAGGTTAGGTTATCTACATGATTGCACATAGGGCTGGACAAAACTCCCGAGCCGAACCCGACGGTTCTTTTCAAGTTAAATACCCGAACGGGTATTTGTATCAAGAACTGACAGGTATGGTTCGGTTCTCGATTTTAGGCCAAGACCCGAAAAACCGAATAAGAACCGAATCTCCATAATTTTTTTAATTAATTTATTTTAAATAAGTAAAATTATTTTATTTTTTCTAAATAAATTTGTTAACTACTTAATTTAGTTCAAACCACAAAATATGATTTTCCTATTTCTAATTTTCAGTTCAAAATCAACTTAATCAAATTGACCTCAATTTTATCCAAATCTGTTATTCTAATGTAGTGTCGTTTCTACCGGAGAAAATCGAATTAAAGCTCTACAACATCTCTCTTAATTATTTTGAGCTCGCTATCTTTTTTTTCTATGATTTTAATAATCAAATTTATGAAGAATTCAGTAAAGAGAGATGTGAAATACAAAAGATTGAACTACGTTATTTTGTAAGAGTTAATATTTAACAATTCATTAATTAAATTAACGTAACTTTGTATATATATTAAAAAATTTAATTATAATACGGAATCAAATAGAAACGAACCGGACAGAATCGAACCGAATGGAAACGAACCCGAACGGTTCCATAATTAAATTTGAACCCGACGGTTCCACTTACTAAATACCCGAAAGTTTCGAGTCGGTTTGGTTCTCGTTAGAATCGAATCGAAGCGAACCATGTCCAGTCCTAATTGCACATAGATATTATTCCTAATATCTATTGCCCATGTGTTGATTTTACTTCGTTCTAAATTTATGGTGAGTATTCTACACTACAACAAGTAACTAACTATTCAATTGATGGCCAAACAATTAAATAGTACAATGGGAATGCAAAATCAATTAAGAAATATCTAAATTAAACTCTTAAATTTAAATAAACAAAAATAGGGTTCCTCAATTATCCAATATAATTGAAAAACTAGCGTAACATGTTTAAAATTAAATTACAAAAGAACAATTGGAAAATCATCACACGGAAAGAAGAAATAATGAAGAAACATGATTTTTTCACATTCTTGATGTGAATCTTAAATCCAGATGAAGAATCTTCAATATCATTACAATTTGCCATGATTCTACATTGTTAGCCTTGTTCTTTGCCTCCAAAATATGTAGAATATGTTATTTTTAGGTCAAAGGGAGGTTTTTTAACTTTTGGAATTGCTTATGGTTTAGTGTGCCAAAAGATTGTATACTCAAAAGTTTTCAAAATGGAATAAGGAAACAAAATTTTTTCCCGGAATTAAACCATGCGTACGCATGGTTCATTTGATGCATATGCACTATTCAGGTGATTTGGTCCCTGGAGTGGATTTTTTTTACCTTGCTTAAGCACGGCTTGCAGGTCTATTCTTAAGCATGTTACAATTTTTTGTCGAACATTCTCATGCGTGTATTTTGATCATTTTCAATAAATTCTCATTTTGTTGACTTATCTTTAGCTCCATTTTTCCTTGGCATTCTTGAATCATCATTTTGCGATCCGACTCAACTTTTGAAGTTTTGCATTTTAGTCCCCAAACTTTGTATTTGATTCGATCGAGCCATTTTCTCTTGTAATCATGCTCTTTTATCTTCCAATTGTATCCAATTAAATCCTTGGCATCTTTGATCTTCATTTTGTTGTCGTTTCATCTATGGATTGTTTTCAATTTAGTCATCGACTTTTGGATTTTGCCCTTTTTCACTATTTTTGCATTATTTTCTCTAATTCTTCATCAAACATTGAGTTTTACCTATTTAACATAATATAACACAAATTAGGCTATATTTCATGAGAAAAATTACAAAATATTATTATTTAAAGTCCCGAATAAGTGTATAAAATACACTTATCACACCTCATGTCCATTTGGTTCTCAACGTAAAGTCACTATTGTTATGCTTGATGACACATAAATTCCTATCCACGGCAAAATCTTTTGCAGTTGTTAAAACCCCTAAAATAACATTCTACTCTTGAAAAAACCAGTCAAAAGGTATGGGATCAGTAATAGAATGCTCAAAAGATACATGATGAACTAGTACGTGTACAATCGTTTTGAGATTTAGCCATGAGGCATAAGCTTTGACAAATAACAAAAAGGCTTTTAATGAAAGCCTCACATTAGGCATACTTCAGGTTCAACCTACAGCGCTTTGAGAACTTTGGGCATAAAAGTACTCAAGTGTTTTTCCTTGAACGTAAAACAATTGTGTTGAGATTCGCTAAGCTCTAGTTTTTACAAGCAAGCCCACAAGCAAATATCACCTCTAGAACCAAAAAAGAATGGGATTTAGCTGATCTATGTTTTAAGAATTTTGAGCATGAAGGTAAGTGATGCAATTTGGAAATTCTATTCGAGGCGTAGAAGAAATTAACATCAATTATGAGATAATATAACATTATCGCATTTGAATTTTCTATCACGTTTGATTCATTTTTGGTTAAATTGATTTTGTAAAAGGAAAAGTCCAACTTTCCTTAGTAGTCGTAATTTCCTTTATTAGTTATGTTTTTAGCCTATATAAAGAGATCCATTGATTGTAATAATACAAACTTGAATATTGAATAAACATACAATCTTTCCCTCAATTTTCTCTTCCTACTTCCATTTCTTTCTTCTTTATTGTATGATCATTACAATCGGCATCAATAAGTCATGTAGCTCCAAGGGCCTCATAACTCTTACTACTCATAGTTAAAGGTGCATTTGATTGCAAACATAAAATTTGTATGGAAGAAAATAAATTCTAAACAATTGAGTTGCCTGCATCTTATTTGTATGAAAATTATTAATTAAATGTGTTGATTGATTAAGTTTTTAACTTATAAAATATTATATTTGTCCTTTTTTATTGGTGAGTAGATGAGAGAGAGGAGATAGATAAGAGAGAGAAAGAGAGAAGAAATTACCTGAAAAATAAAAATCATCCCTCCCTAAAGAAATGTTATCCTCATTTTTGAGGAAAATATAGTCATATGACGAAAAGTTGGAAAATATTTTTCATGGAAAAATTGTCATTCAAACACCCGAAAAGTAAGAATTTGGGTGGAAAAATGATATTTTTTAAGAAAATAATGCCAATCAAACACACTTTTAATTATTTTCTTATAAGATTTTCAAAGTTTCATCTCGTAAAGATCAAAGTTGAGGAAGTTGTTGGATGGCTAAGTTTAGTTTTCCTTCTCACTTAACCTCATATGAAGCATATTCTTTCACCAACTTGCAATTTTCTAGGGAAACAAAGTTCTTTCTTATCATCTGTTGACTACAGGCAAGAAATATCAGGCCTCCTTTTGGAAGATGGTCAATCTTTTTTTCCCACAATTGATTGTACAATGTTAATCACAAGGACTACATATAATAATTTTACCCTTGTTAATAGATTAGGTGAATGCAAATGAAGTTGAGCTTGATACCAGAAATGAGCCTAATTTTATGTCTGCTTTGTTTATTATTTAAGATGTACTTAAAAAAATAAAATTTGATGAGTCAAAAAAGATCAGAAGTCGAGCAGTTTGGTTAATTTACTCTACATTTGTTACTTATTAGCTTAGGAATTGAATTCTAGCAAAGTTCAAATATTTTACAAGTTTGAAATGTGCTTATGCTCTCTGGTTTCATCCTTCCGCCAAGGTTGGATGAGTTATTAGCAGTCCAAGCTTGAGCCAAGCCTGAACTCGTTGAGAGTGTGTACAACCAGACCTCTTATAAATGAATGTATCAGACCATCAGCCATCAATTGACCTTTATTTTTGTTTTGAGAACTTGATTTGGTCTGTTCTTATCTCTTCTAATGATGATTATATGTGATGCCTTCCTTATCTTGTTTGCTTGCAGGAAGAACCTGCTGTCATAAAGTCTTACTACGACAAAAGAATTGTGGGATGCCCTGGTACTGAAGGCGGTAAGTCTCAATTTCCTGTCTGGTTTTTTCCTATTAATGAAGTAGTAATTGTACTTTGGAGTCTTTAGCTCAATTCTTACTGGCTTTTGACCATTTCTCTGCCCCGATATTTGACAGAGGACGAACATGATGTTGTTTGGTTCTGGCTAGAGAAGGGCAAACCACATGAATGCCCAGTATGCTCACAGTACTTTGTGGTAATTACATGATTGCCTTCAATATTATTCTTATTGTGCCAATGATTCGTAGATAATAATTCTGGAAATACGACGTAGTGAATATATTTGTATGCATTGAACCCATGTTCAACCTCTAGCGTAATTCACGCGAGCATCAGCTGAAATGCCTGCTTATAATTGATTTTCATGGTGGTATTGAATACCCATTTCAATTTTTTATGTCATCCTTAGTCGATAGAAACCTTTGTTTTATCATTTCACTTAAATTGTATATTCTCCGGACTTGAGATCGTTTTCATTGCTTCTGTTTCTAGATGTTGATAAGTATCCTGAGTTGCCCTCTAAATTTATTCATTTTTCTTTGAATGCAGTTGGAAGTGGTTGGCCCAGGTGGACCTCCCGATGGACATGGCGATGATGACGACGACCATCACTGACTATTGTTGGGATTTTTTGTGCCACGTAAATCTGGTAATATGTTGAGAATTTGCATAGTATATTCTTCAGCTTGTGGATTCAAAAGCTGTCTTTTGCTTGCATTTGATGAATCTGTCATTATGGTTGCTTTGGCTACGATGGAATCTGCTAGCCTTTCTTGAAATTTCTTTAAGATTTTAACATTGTCCAGTCGTCGGACTTTCAGCATTTCTTAGGCATAACGAAATAATTTATGGCTATATTCATTTATAATGCATATGGCATTCTTTTTTCTCTAAATTAAATCCATTTATTGATATATATATCAAATTTTAGAAATGTAATTTCATCACTGACACAACTTGTGGCTATATAGCAAAAATGAGGTAGAAAATGTTATATTGTACAATATTCAATATATTAAAGAAAATGAAGTAAAAATTTGCTGTTATAATGTCGAATTGACTTCAATTGATGAGCTATTGAATTTATGAATCGACTTAAATGCTTTTGTATTAGAATATAGACCAGTTAAGTATTATACTCTGCTCCAATATATACTTTTCCCAATATAATCTGATTGAAAATAAGATCTATTTTTTCTGTTGCACTTACCATATACATCTTCGACTCCTTATACAAGCTATTTGTTCATCGTAAGGGTAAGAATCTTCTACCTGACCATGCCTAGAGTTCAGCTCATTATCGCCAACAATGGCTGATCTATCCTCCGGTCTAGATTTAGGGGCTCTTTCTATAGTCGAACGTGCATACAAAACAATCGTTTCTATAGAGATCAAATGGGGGGATTTGGTCGATTTTGGTTTAAAAAAATCATTGGATAGTATTTTGAGAAAGAATTTGTTTTTTAAGCTATTTTTGAAACTTTCCCATCATATTGTTCTTTTTTACATTAAAGTGTTTAACATTTTGTAACACGATGTGGTGTGTCACAAAACCATTTTCATTGTCGCCGCCACTCATTTCCATCACCATCAACACTGCTGTCTCCACCATCGCAAAAGCAACCATCACCGTCAACACTCCCCCTAATCTCTTATTTCATTTAAGAACTCATCCCAAATAAAAGTTAAATCCATAGAGGATTAACATTTGCAGTTTCTCAATCACATCCGCGTTACCAAATCTTGATGGTTGCAGCAAAACTATAGGGCGGCAGCAAGGGTGGGAGAAGAAAGTCCAGACCTGTCTCAAGTCCATTTAGATTTATTTATTTATTATGTATATGTGAATTTTTTATTTTTTGTATTAGCTTAATATGAAAAAGATTGTCCGGCTCCTCTCACTTGTGGTCGGTGGTAGTGGTGGTGGTGTGCATGCTTCTTGTTTGTTTGTGTATTTGTATTTGTATCTAAAAGAAAGTCAGTAATCATGAAATTGAATCAAAAAAGAAATGGTAATTGTGAAATTTGAAAAGTAAATAAGAAGGTGGCATAATTTTCCCATTAATTATCGCACGTGTATAGCAATCGTCGAGTTATAAGGACAAATATACATGTTATTTATGCGGACTTAGTTTATTCCACTTGTACATCGAACTTTGTATTTGAAGTTCAAAATTTTGGTCTTGACATACCTTCGAATCTTTAGTAAATTTTGTGTACGGTTACTACTTATAAGGACGATTATGTGTGGATGTTCAATCCTTCTCAACCACGTGGTTGATACTCTCGACGTGATGGCTTTACTTTACATATATTTAATTTCCATTTTATTTGATACATGACAAGCAATAATAGAAAATCAATGTGAATGGTGTGATGAAGAGAGAATCAAACTAGAATAGATTCTAGAGGTGACCATATGTTCCCATCTTACAAATAATGGGAAAAGATGAACAAGAGATGTGTTTCCATTCCTTTGGAATATAATGAAGAGACAGAATTGCATGGAGAAGTGTTTTTTTTTTTTTTTTTTGACATGTAATTAAATAGTTCCTTCTAGAGGAATAACTTTTACATATATCCTATGTTTTTTTCATATGAATATAACTAAGTATATTTAAATATACTGTCACATCAAAGGTTCCTTTTGCTTTCACAAGGAAAAGGGTTCACTTGTCTTGTAGAATATACATTGGTGCTCCAATGAAGCCTTAGATTTCAAAAGATTTAATAAAGAATTTGTTAAGGGATAAATATAAAGTCAATTAATACTAAAATATTAAAAAACTTATATTGGCGTGGAAAAATATTCTTAATAACACTAATCTTTTTTAAGCTAAGAAATTCAGGTCTTAATACGGTATCAGAGTCTATAATTCAAAAAAAGCAATCCCATTCGTTTAAAACTCAAATGAGCATCAAAATTCCAAGTTTTATTTGTTCAACCAAGTAACCATCTTATATGTAACCATCTTATATTTGCGAGTCACTCAATTAAGTGATAGAAATTCAAGTTTAGTATACTCAAACAACTAAAAATCTTGCGTGGACGTATTAAAGATAAATTTCATATATACTAAATATAAAAATATTTACCAATATTTATGAGTTTGAGTTAATCCTCTACCAAATTATTATTTTTTAAATGAAATCTCAAGTCTTGATTGAATTAATATGGAATTAGAAATTCCATTTATTATGTGCTTGCATGTATAATAATAAATGAATAGAGTTAAACTGAATTGAAAATTCTTCAATCTTAGCTTCATGCAAAATTTATTAATTTCTAGAGTACACTTATGATTCAATACACAATTTATTTGGGTGAAATTAATACAAGTTTAGAGGTTTCAAATTTAGAAGACATCAGTGACAAATCATTAAATTTATAGTTTTTACCAAATTATTGATTTATGGTATCAAAGGACACAAATTTGTATAAGAAATTCCCAAAATGTATTATCTTATCGATTTATCAAAATTGTTTGTTTATTTTATTAGCTCAAGTCAGGATAAAAAAAAAATAATAGAGGTTATTAATTTATAAAAATTATATTTTATTTTATTTTTTAATAGCTGACCTATAAAAAGAATAATGTATTCTAAATCTTACTTCTTTAATTATAAGTGATTGTTTAAGTAAGCCAAAAATGAAATTGTGTATTAGTAAAGCGACCTCACTTCACATCTTTTAGCCCCCGTTGCGTAGTAATTTTTCACCCCAAAAAAATCAATTTTTTTACCGTCATTTCACAATTCAACAGTTATTTTTTACTTCTTCACTCATAGGTGAAACCCACTTTTCTCTCTAACGATCAAAAAATCAATTCTCATAATCACTATCGAATAGGAGTTTGATCTTCGATATATATAAGTTGGCCGTTTGACCTTTTTATAGTGGGTTAAGCTTTTTCTATAGACCACTATTTTAGAACCGCTGCCAAAACGAGGGATAAGTTCCTTTAAGTGTAAAGCTTTTTCTTTAAATTATCAGAAATATCTTTAAAAATATCAAATGAAAGAAATTCATTGAACCAAACATAGAACTTGTTTGGAAATGATTTTTCGGGAAAAAAATTCTCTTCAAAATCATTTTCAATCACATATTTTATAGGATTCGTAACATTTTTTTTCCTACTTTTAAGTTCTGACCTTAACTAAGTCTCTTTTTCAATTTTCGAAATGGTCGAGGGAATAAAGGCAGCATATAACAAACCAATTGTTGGTACAATAGACAGAAAATCGAACCAAAAAAAAGAGAGAGAACTTTTTATTAAACAGAAGTTAAAAGGAGCATTCCTCATTAGGTTTAGTGATCTTGTTTTAATAAGTGGAAATTATGGAATTCATTCAATGATAATAATTTAAACAAGAAGCTAGTGTTAGGAGCATATGCTTGATTAAACAAATTAAGTAAAAATTTAAGATTTAATAATTATTTTAAATTAATGTGGATTCTTAGGTTTTAGTGGAGTTGACATACAAAGATTCTCACTAAATTTACTCTTCTAAAGGTAGGGAATATTACTTAGGCTAAATAACAATTATTTTTCATTTTTATTTCTTGTTAGTGAGTTTAGATGTTTGAGAAATCAACGAAATTCAATAAATTAAATAGACCTTAAATAACTTCAAGTAGGAAATAACTCCGGTGTAAAGCTCATCATGTCTCTCTCGAGAACGTTTTGATCTTAAAAACCTATATTTTTTTCTCAATTTGCAGTCTTGTTTAGATTATTTTAAAATGGAATCCTGAAATTCTGAAATATGGTTTTGGCTCTTGGATAAGTGCAAGTATACAAGCAGCCTTCCACCCTGTACCCTTGGAGGCATAACCTGCGATTTACCTCCCTCACGATGGTCCAGGGGCAGGGGTGGTGGGGGACCTTTAAGGTTAGGGTTTAACCTTTTTTTAGATTATTTTAAAATGGTGTAAAAACTACTTAATAGTTATTTTGCATGTGTTTCCTTATATACTTCCAAGTAATTTCACTTGTAATAACAAAATTTTTGCCTTGAAACATTCTTCACGACCCCATTTCAGCATAATAGCTGAAAATGACTTTTCATGGAAAAAAAATAAAAAATAAAAAAATTGTTTAAATCGATGTTTGCCCTATAAATATGCCTACAAAAAATTTTTTGCCTAAAAATATTTTTTCCCACAAGTAAGAACATTTCCATACAAATAAATTTTGTAGGAAAGACATAAACTTCTTGTATTGCACAAAAATTGAAGTCTAAATCGATAGATGAGTAATACCCACAACATGAGATCTAACTCAACTCAGGACGATACGTGTTGAGGGACAAGAACATGCATCATAAACAAGAGAATCAAACGTATTTTTTTGTATCTTTCACTTCTTGTAGTTTTCAATTTTCGATTTGACATCTGATTGGTGACATGTCTTCCAATTACCCACTAAGTTATTTCGACAAAGCATAAAGTAGTGTTTGACATAATCTAAAGTGCCTTTTAACATGGCATCAAACACGACTTTACATGTAATAATGTTTGACATTCTCAAGAGTTGCTTGATGTAGCATTAAGCACTATTAAAATTAAGCACCATTAATGAAAGTTGAGTAAAAATTAAAAATTGCTCTATTTCGATAAACTATCTATGATCAAACTAAGAAAATCAAAAAGGGAAGGGTCGATTTGCCCTAAGGCTGGTCCAAAATCGTGAGAAACTTGTTGAGATATGTGTTCAAAATTATTTAGATTTTATTGTAGATAAGATAAATGTTTCAAATTTTAATTTATTTTATTTTCATAAAAGGGAGTTGCATTATATTTTGAGCATGAGCACAAAATGCCCTCTATTAAAGTGAAATATAAAATAGGGTGGTTAATACTGAAGATATTGTTTTGAATATTAATCGAGAAATTCAATGTCCACGACCATAGGATAAGAGGTTGGCACTCTATTCCTTTAAGATTTAAGATTGTAATAGTTGCTAATCTACCAATTGATTATGCAGTTTGTATTAATTGGAACGAGAAATCACAAAAGTAGTGACCCTAGTACATTTAAACCCCGTTTGTTTCTCATTTTCTCAAGAATGAAAATGAAAAATATAGTCGTTACGGGCCCCATACAAAAGATAAAAATTCAAATTTAGTAGCTTGATGTGATGGATAATGGTCATATTTTTCATTTTAATGAGGAAAGAATGGAAAACAAACGGCGTCTTAATATATCAGAAAATGTACTACTAAAATAACCAAACTTTTTAACCATGAAACAAGAATTATTCAAGTCCATATAAAGATTTAAAGTCTTGATATTTTTAATATCACGTTATCTTGATATCTAGTGTCAAGCTTCGAAATAATAGTTGTCAAATTGGGCTCTACATCAACCACAAAAGAGTCCCATTGCATGTGTAGGTGTCACAAAATAAATATTTACGCCTTAACCTCCAAAGCATGTCTAGCAAAAAATGCACCGAAATCACTAAAGCTTCCCTTATTGAGAAAACGCAGACCCTCAATCACTTTGCTAAATGAAAATTGGAAGCCTCGTCCAAACAACATTAATGGCCTTTGTTCAGTCTTGAATGTAGACGTCATTTAAGTGAGAACTTGACGCAATCATATTAACTTAGACTTCAATGCAATAAAATCATGAGTGCACCTAACGAATTACATGATAAATATCACTACAGCACAAAACCTCTCAGCGAAAATCTTGAAATTTGAACTTAATCATAACTTCAACATAATGATGGGAATAAAGATGATCCAAAAGCCCCTAAAAGTCAATTAAAAAATGATTGAAAATCTAAGATCCAATGGAAAATCTTGCCAAAATTTTGGCAGGAAACTTGAAAGTTGACTTTAAAAATATTTCCAAATCTTAAGGTTAACATCTAGTAACAAGTGCTTGAAATAGGCTCTTGTCTTAGAATTCTTAAACCAATCTTGGTGTTCACTCATCATGGTTAAACTCTTTATTGGTGATGAAACTGTAGGGAATGTCCTGCAGAAAAATAGATCGACACTAGAATGATAAAAAAGTTTAACACCACTAATTCTTATTCCCTTTTTAACAAAAAAAAAAATTAAAAATCAAAATGTCATCTTATTGAAAACCCCAATTATTACAACAATGTGGAGTCGAATTTGTCGATTCTCGCTTACTCCTACAATTACTTATTCGTTGAGAAAATATCCTACGTGCAATATGAACTTGAAGAATAATAAATATCGATGCTTAACTTATGTTAAATATCGGTGAGATAGTACATCATTTAATCGATGAATTATTAAATATATAGGATCTATCATTAACTTATTTATCAATTAAATGACGTGTCATATCACTGGTGCTTAACTTAAGTTAAGCACAGGTATTTAGGAAATCATTTTCGTGTGTGTGTGTGTATATATATATAATGATGAGGGAGTCCCTCACGATGCTCCAGGAGCGAGGCGATGGGGGCCCTCAAGATTAGGGTTCAACTTTTTTTTTAATGATGAGGGAGCGGTTGCCCACTGAACGTCCCTTTGCCTCTGTATTAATGGGATTGTGGAATATCAAAAGAAGGCTCGCACAAATACTCATCTTAATGACAAAAATAGTGTAGCATAAAATATCACTATCTTAGAATGAAAGCCCTTGTTTAAGCCATATTCTTTTAAAAATATATCTCTTTAAAACTCGTTTTCTATAACACATTTTTCAATAAAATAATATTACACGTAAATTGAAATTTTTTTATTAATTTTTAACCATATATTTTTTATTAATCTGCTATTCAAAATGCATTATTTCCCTTAAATGGGGGGCAAATTTCATCTAGTATTAAGGATGCTACACCCGAAAGTAACCCGAAGAGTCACAATCTTACCCTTATAATTTCAAAATCCTTCCAAGAATTTCTGATTCAAATTCTACTTTCAAGAAATTCTTATGCCACGTTGGAGCTATGAAAATAATAAGTGGCTAGCAATAGAAAGAAAGTTCGTACGCTTTTCCCAATGCAGTACCTCTCCACCAAGAACAATTCCTATTTATTCTGTACCGTCAAATGTTGTATTCTAACTCATATAGCAATACAAAACCTGTACCTACAATTTGCTGTTCCCTTATTATTTACATTAGTGCCTGTGACAGAATGATGAAAAATTGGACAGTTTTGAACTTCACATGCAAGATAACGGGTATAATCAGAAATATATAAACAATTGATTGAAAGAAAGTTATTTTTCTTGAATTTATTCCTTGTTTTCAGCTATATTCTTGAAATTTTAATTTGTGTACTTTATTTATAGAGACTGCCAACAAGCATAGATTCCTTTTATGCTGTAAATCTAGAGCCCCCAACCTCAACGGCTCAGGGAAATTCATGGAATGAATGTACTCTTGTGGGTTTTATTTTCTGGTTTGATTCCCCCCCTTTTTTTAAATTTTGGTTGTTGATAAAAAGATTTCTGCTTTTTGTCATTGTCTTCACCTCTCCTTTCCATGGAAGCTTCTTCTCTCTCTCTCTCTCTCTCTCTCTCTCTCTCTCTCTCTCTCTCTCTCTCTCTCTCTCTCTCGCTTTTTCAGTTTATAGGCAATGTTTAGCTGGTTCACACATACGTGTTTTGATTCCATTTTTTCAATTAATCTGAACTTTCGAGTATAAATAGGGGTGTGTCTGCTTTTGTAGTTTTCATTGCTTACAGTTCATTTCATATTGCATACAAGGTGTTCTTGAAAATTCCGAGCTGAACTTTAATCTCCACCCTCAAAGATGAGCTATCCAAATTTTTCCGTGGGCTCTGGTCAGTTGAGATTTTTGCTTTTTCTTTCAGCATTTTCATTACTTATAACGTAGAAATGAACTGCTTATCACAGTTATCTCTGTTTCTTTCTGTCATTATACTCGATGTATTCATTTTGTTGAGTAGAATAATGACTTTGCTAAACAAATTTGTAGGAAGTAGAACAGCTGGAAGGACATTTGAGTTTGGGAGGACATATGTGGTGAGGCCTAGAGGGAAACATCAGGCAACAATAGTTTGGTTGCATGGCCTTGGCGATAATGGCTCAAGGTAGAACTATTCTAACTTTTGGCGTTTTGTGATTATGAATTATGAGTTTTGATTTTCTCAATTTGAGTATCAATGGTTTATGATTGCGGAAAAAAGCTTAAATTATTAATAAGGGGACCATGATATGTTGATTTCTATATTCAACTTGACTGTTAAGTATTCCTTCTGATTAGTATATGCCTGATAATAAAGTGGTAGTAAACAAGTGGACCTTTTGCCACAAAAGAAAGGGGAAAGTTCCTCTTGAAAGAATGTCAATGGCTAAATAAGTCATGCTTACACACTTGTCCTTTTATCAAGACTACATTTTTTATCTCGGCCTCTAACAACTCTAAGTGCGTGTTTGAGCCACATTATTTTGAAATAATATATTTTGTAATAGTAGATTGACGGAGAATGTGTGGTTAAAAAATAAAGAAATTTTTTTATTTTGTTTGTAATATTACTTTATTGAAGAATGTGTGATTGAAATAATGTCAAATCAATGTTTAAGAATGTATTTCTTTCAAAAAATTCTGCTCAAACAGGGTCTAAATGTAATTAACATTAGAAATCTTGAATAAAACGTGTATGCAATGCAAGCCGTATGTTTTATTGAAATCACTAGTTCACTTAATTTTGAAGGCTGCCAGAACGGTTCGAATTCAAATTTTTTATTGATTCCTTCCCTTTGTACTTTGAGCCTTTTCATATAGTACTTTTTATGGAAATATTTACAAACTTGGTCTATATCTCCTTATAATCAAAATTCCTAGCGTCTGTACTTACACAAAGCACTCGTCCTTTATGATAGTATATAGCAGTTATTTTATAATGTAGAAAGCAGAAAGTTAAAATGAAAATTTTCTCCCTTTGTTTTCTGTACTTTTTGCAGCTGCTCGCAACTTTTGGAAAGTCTTCCCCTTCCAAATGTAAGTTATCTATCGTACTTTTAACCAGTATAATTTACTTTGTTCTTCTTTAGTTGCATAACTAGACTACCTGACTTTCCAAAAGAAATTGTTTTCAATCCTACCCTACTGAAATGTTGTGCTTAAACTTTCTCATGCAGGTAAAATGGATATGTCCTACTGCTCCTAGTCGCCCAGTAGCGATGCTTGGTGGAATTCCTTGCAATGCATGTAAGCAACAAGCAAAAAATTCAAATATGGTGATTTCAATGATCTATTAGTTGAAGTCACACGTCTCTTTTCATGGTTTTTATATCAGGGTTTGATGTAGGAGAGCTTTCTGAAAATGGTTCTGATGATTCGGAAGGTATAGATGCTTCAGCAGCACATGTTGCAAACTTATTATCTACAGAGCCTTCTGATGGTAAGATTATTACTCTTGCTTCATCTTGGATAGTTCACTATAAACAGTTTGACTACATCTTTAAATGTAACGTATCATCTCTTAGTTTTGTGTACTTCTATTTACTCGTTTTTTCAGTTTCAAAAGAATAAAAATAAATTTAACTTTTATCAACAAAGATTAACTCCTTTTTGGATAAAAGTGTCGTTTGGAATTTTATCGGTGACCTATGTATGAAGTTAAGAGTCTTGTTCGTATCTTTAGGTGATCTTTTAGCATGTCTTAAGTTCAATTTAACATCAATTTTGAAGATTTGTCAGTTCATCTTTACGAATCCCTAAAAGTTTTCCTTTTTTTTGAGATTTGCACCAAGTTTGCTCAATATCTTAGTCATCATCGACAGAATTCATACTTACTTTTTGGATCATTCTATATTTGGGATTGCATATTCTAATTACCAATGGATGCTGTCTTGTACAGTTAAGCTCGGTATTGGAGGCTTCAGCATGGGTGCTGCAATTGCCCTCTATTCTGCAACTTGCTTTGCTCATGGAAAATATGGAAATGGCAATCCTTACCTTGTTACCTTAAGGGCTGTTGTTGGTCTAAGCGGGTGGCTTCCTGGTGCTAGGTAAGATTCCATTGATTGGTCTCAAATGATACAAAAACTATAGAATACAAAACAAGAATTATCAAAGATCCAATGATTATTTGACTATATCTTATCTTGCTTGTGCTCATTGCATATACAAACTAAGATGTGAAATTTTCATATTCGTATTCGGGCAAATGATATTCGCTTACCTTTAGTCTCTAATTAATTGCTTCTATAATTAATTGCAGCAATGTGAGAAACAGGATAGCAGGATCGCATGAGGCTGCAAGGCGTGCCGCATCTCTTCCCATTTTGCTCTGTCATGGACTCTGTATGCTTATACTTCCTTAAGATGTTAAAGCAGTCATATTATATATCCTAAATTCCTAAAATATTTAAGCTTTTAGCATATTTAATAATACCCCAAGAATCCCTCTCAACTTCTCGTCTGAAACTTAATTGTTACTAAGCCTATGTTTGGCCCCCATTTTCTCAAAAATTCATTTTTTCGAAACTCATTTTCAACCACGCATTCTCCCATAAAATAATATTACCCGTAAAGCAATAACTTTTCGTTATTTTTTGACCATACATTCTCCAACAAAATCTCTATTCCAAAACTCATTTTTCCCCTAATCTCCATTAAAATGGAGCCTAATATTGTCAATGAGCTGTTTTGTTTCTCACCTCATTAGTTTCTTTAACAGGTGATGAAGTGGTCCCTCATACACAAGGAGAGAAGTCCTTCAACGCCTTGAGCTTAGCTGGATTTCATGACCTTGTGTTTAAATCATATGACGGGTAATTGAGTCTTTACATTTAAATCAAGCTATCTCATACATTTGGATGAAACTACAAATCTTATGTCGGTTTCTGCAGGCTTGGTCATTATACCATGCCTAACGAGATGGACGAGGTCTGCAATTGGTTGAATACGAGGTTGGGGTTTTAGGAGTAGAAATTTCAAGTTTTCCCTTACGGATTGAAGTGGCTGAGGGTCAACAAGTGGAGGAGCTAAAACAAGGGAAAACATACACACTTGTAGACAGACACATGGTAGTTAGCTGTGGCTTGCATTGGTGAATTCAGTAGTAAATAATATTCCATCAAGTTTTGTTATGTTTTGCATGCAGTAAAATAAAGGCTTTGTTGAATTCTATAGTAAATAGGTTACCATCTGGTTTTGTTATGTTATGCTGCAGTGAAATAAAGATTTTGAATTGGTACTATGTAATTTGCTGAGTATCTTTGTTTTAGTAATAGTATGTCACTATGATGTATCCATCGATCTCTCTTTTTCTGCGCTTGTCTGCGTGCGTGTTTTTCCTTCATATAGACACCAAAAGTCGACTAGTCACTGAGTTGGGACACGAGATTTTTGGAGTTCTATGATTGTTGCAGAACTTTATTAGCAAAAATGAATGTTCTTGTTGACCTCGAAGATGGATCAACAAACTTCTCTTATTTAACTTTTTTCCTTCTAAAATCGTTGATTTTATGATCAAGTAGGAGCAAGAAGAGAAATGTCAATTTGAAAGAAGGATACTTCGATTTGCATGTCTTTCTTTGTTCCCAGCTATACCTATTTATATGTTTCCAATGAGGACAAAGGGGGTAATTAGGTCCTTTCCATTAATGACATGTGATAATCTTTGATTAGTCAACTTTTAATTGAATGTGTTAGCTTTTCACGTTTTATCCACCCCTCCACGTGTTACTCATTCATTGGTTGTGAAGTCATGCTTTACATTCTTATTCACGTGTTTTTTGATGATGATTTATGCTAATATGGAATAGTTGGTGAAAACTCGAGGTTGATTGTAAGGTTGTGCCTTTCAAATGCTTGCTTATTTTATTATGAACTCGGATATGACTTTGAAAATGTTCGCTTGACAAGAGGTATAGTTTTGTCATTAATATTTTGTGAATTTTAATTGATAGTAAATAGTTTTTGAAGTTCAAGTTTAATCATTTATATTAGGGTTAAGACTTTATTGTTAAATTTATGTATTATGCAAACCTAAAATGATTTTATTTTGTGGAAATTACACCGATCCATAGTTTTAAAATATGCAATTTAAAAATCAGATTTAAAGAATTTTTATGCAAAAATCAGATGATTTTTTAAATAATAATAAAAATATTAAAAATTAAATTTAATCTATATATTCATCCTTTCATTTTCAAACCCTAATATTTTTCCTTATTTTTTATCTCTCTACCCTCTTCCTTCTCTCTCCTCTCATGTTCTATCCATTTTCTTCCTCATTTAACGATCTCGTCGGAAGACGAGAAGACGCCACCAGAAGACATCACCAAATGGCACTGCGATGCCGTTGTGCGATGACGCTGCTACAGCAGCGGAGTTGTGCATATTCTGTCTTTGCAGCTACCTCGAACTACAACTCCAAGGCTGCTGCGAACTCGCAATTGCGTTGCCCTGCAGTGCACCAACCGCCGTAGCAGAAAAATTGGGGGAGGGGTTGGTTTTGGATTTTGGATGTTATTTTAATTTTGTATTGTTTTCGTAAACTTGTAATGCTCAAATTTTTGCGTACATAATTGAAAATGTTATTAGATTTTTACGTAAATTTTTACGTTGATTTCGTCCGGGGGCCCAATTTACGGACCTCGCATCGGGCCTCCATTATCACAGGACCGGCCCTGATGGCACTGCGATGTCGTTGTGCGATGACGCCGCTACAGCAGCGGAGTTGTGCATACTCTGTCTTTGCAGCTACCTCGAACTACTACTCCAAGTCTGCTGCGAACTTGCAATAGCGTTGCCCTGCAGTGCACCAACCGTCGTCGCAAAAAAATTGGGGGAGGGGTTTTGGGGATTTTCAACAGCCGACAGCAGAGAACAGTTGGGAAGGGATTTGGGGTTTTTTGGCGTGATTTTGATCACCGCAACTTTGCTTGACGGTGTGCCCGTCACCATAACAAAAAAAAATTGGGAAGGGGTTTGGGGATTTTTTGTCGTCGTACAGAGAAAATTTCAGTCGCTGTAGCATAGACGTCTTCTTCGCAGTATTGGAGAAATCCAGTCGTGGTTTTGGTGTTAGTGGTGGTGTTGGTGGTTGGGTTGGGTTGGGTTGGGTTGATGGTGTTGTGGGCGCTGTGGTAGTTTTGCAGTTGCTGTGGTGAGTTGGTAGTGGTGGCAATAGGCGGAGTCGGCTCGGCCCTTAATCGCACGAGCTAGGTCGGCTCATTCAATTTGGGCGAGCACGAGCTCGTGGGCCGAGCCGAGCTTGGGCTTGTCAATTTTTTTTTTGTAAGAGTTTTACGAATAAATGAAATAATAGAAAACACTTTAAAAAAAAATAAAAAGTGTTAAAAAATACAAATAATTTAACGAAAACAATTTTTTATTTTTTTATTTCATATTGTAATACTTTTTATAACGTAAAAATTATGTATACAATGAAAACGAATTATTTTTTGAAATACATTTACAAAAAATATATATTTTTGATTTTCTTTTAAAGTAGATAAAATGTAAACACTCCTCCTTTATTCGGACTTGAGACTAGCTACATCAATTTTAAGTAGGCAGAGTTAAAAATTGTACATGAATAACTTGTTGTAACGTGTACAATTTTTTAAAGAAAATTAAATTTAACGATTAAAAAATAAAGAAATTTTGATTAATATAATTAAATCAATATCACTTACCTGACGACATGCAATTTCAACATATTTATCTTGTAATCTAAAATGAGCGTCCTGTCAATCCTTCACACACATTAATGCTTCCAAAACATATTCTTTTAGTCGGCTCCGAAATAACAGTACTAACCGAAGGTATCAATAGATATTTCGCAATTGTAGAAACAATTGGCCAACGCCTTTCATACTTTCGCTAGAATTCAATTACTTCTTCTGAACTTTTTTTAATTGTTCTGTTTGTTAGCATATTATGATTGAAGTAATCAATTAATTCGGTAGGAATCGCATTTTGAGTTTCGATCGATGTTTGATGATATGCAAATGTAGACAACATAGCATTAGATGAACACATTGCAGTTGCATCATATCTAAATGTATTAATGCCTTGAAATAAATTCATTATTTCGGCATCATCTTTTTCAATTTCAGCAGAAAAAGTAGATGCAGAGGGTACCCGACTAACATTCGCACACATTCTTTCCGCATATAAATCATACATTCTACATAAAGTTTGCTCTAAATTCTTATAGGTAATAGGTGTGTCAAGTATTAAAGTTTTATTGATTTGATCAATTACGTATTTAGTTCTCGAAATATTATATTGAGGGTCCATTGCGCATGCTAAAAGAAATAACGTAGGCAGTTCTTCCCAATATTTTCTAAATTTTAATTTCATAACAATTATAATTTCACTAAAAGTAGGATCATTTTTATATTTATTGAATGTTCTTGCAATTATATAAAGGCGTTCAAGAACCATACAACTTATGGGATAATAAACGCTAGATAAAATCTTTGTGGTCTCATAAAAAGATGTCAAAAATCTTTTAACCTTCAAAACTAAAATCCAATCGGATTCATTTAACATACCATCGTCATCACTTCTAACGTGTCTATTGTTGTAAAAGTCAGTTATTAAATTTTCGAAACCTTCACATGACTTTAACAGCAAGTAAGTAGAATTTCATCTATAGCCTACGTCGCTAACAAATGTTTTAGCAGTCGTCACCCATAATTCAGCACAAAAATCTTCAAATGCTTGTTTTCTACTAGGAGACATCGTAATATCTACTAATGCATTCCTAATCCTTTGAAATTCATCATTTATATGTTTTAAACCATTTTACACAATTAAATTCAAGATATAACACACAACGAATATGAAACAAATACCCACCAAAATTAGGTCGAAGTGTCCTACACAATTTATCAACGACTACCTTATTAACACTAGCATTATCAAAAAGAACAGATCAAATTCTAGTCTCGCAATGATATTCTCTAACAATACTGATAATAGCATTATATATGTTATTAGCATTGTGAGGAAACTCAATAATTCTAAAAGCAATAATTTTCTTATGCATGCACCAAAGTAGGTCTATATAGTGTACGATTGCAGTTATATATGCTCTTTTATTAACCCCTTCTCATATATCAAAAGTTAAAGATATAACACCCTCATATTGTTGCAAATCTTTAATTAATTGTTGTTTTGAATTATTGAAATAATTTATTGTATCGGCATGAAGAGTGTTTTGACTTACCCCCAACGTACCTCAGTTGTAGATATTCTTTCACGAACGAGACGAAGTGTTGGTTGTCTGCAATAGCCAGAGGCAACTCAGTGGTGGCAACAAATTTCACCATTCCGGTTTGAGTATTGTCCTCCGAGTACACCCACGTGGATAGGGGTGAAGTTGTAGAATCGGCATCTGGATTGCCAAATTGTAATTGTGTTTGACCAGTTGGAAGAAGTCCATGTCTGGCCGCACATGCTCTGTAGTGGCGGTTGAGATGGGTGGTACCAATTCCTTTTTACTAGGCCAATTTTTGTTGGCAGAATTTACATACTGCTTTAGATTCTGCAAGGCCATCGATGACTTTTCTCGTTGAAATCAATTTAAAGTTATCCCAACATTTTGCTTGTTTTTTGGTCTTTCGCTTTCCCTTCACATCTGGGATGTTTAATTTAGCATCTTCATCCTCATGTTCCTCTTCGAAAACGTTAATATCATCCAAATCAATTGGATTGTGACTTTCCTGACCGTGAATGAGAACATCTTCAAGTATCGGTAGGTCATTTAGACCGACAAATTCATTTGGAAATTGACTTTACGGTGTCCTAGGCGATTCGTCATAATGTGGCCCACATCCTGTATCGAACAAGCTTTCAACAAATGAGCGTTGATCCATTTGTTTGATTGTTTATGATGAAATCTTAACTAGAAGAATATAAATGTAGTGAGATTGTGAGAATTGAGAATTAGATGAATTGAAATGTAACTAATAAACTGTAAAAATTGAATTGATATTGTATATTTTTCAGCACAAGAGAGTAAAAACTCGATAATTGATATAATAAAATAGAGTTGGAGATTTGGAGTAGCAATCGGCTCGTGGGCGGCTCGTGCTTGGGCTCGTGATTTTACGAGCCCGATCAGCCCACGAGCCCCATTTTCACGAGCTGAGCCGTCGAGCCGACAAGCGGCTCGGCCCTTTTGATATCCCTAGGTCAAGGTGGTCATGGCTATAGTACGGGCGTCATGGTGGGGGTGTCTGTGATCAATTATTTGATTGATTGTGATCAATAAATTGGTTATTAGTGAAC